CCGACAGCCCCCATAGCTCCTTCACGTCCCCCCAGCTCTGGAGGGTCCTGGGGAGCAGACCCTGCAAGCAGGGGCACCTTCAGCCAAGGCATGGGTGGATGCAGGAGAGGGTGGAGGGGCAGGCTGTGCTCCCCAGCTGGAGCAGCACCATCTCCTCCGCCCTGGCTCCTCCTTCGCCTGCTGCACGCTCCATTCTCCCCCCTGCCCCCAGAGACCCTCACCTTGGAGGAAGGTGAGCTGGGTCTATCCCTCCCAGGAACCTGCAGCCCACCCACCTCCACCCCAGCTGCTCCCTGACCTGCAGTGCCACCAGCCCTCCTCCTCAGGCAGCTCCAGTCTCCCCACGTCACCTTTACAGGAAGCCGCTTCGAGACTTCCCTCCACAGCACACCCTCTCCCACCCCCACAGCTCCTCCTTGCCCTCCTCTTGGCCCGTACCTACCACTGGTGTTAGACCCGGACCATTGTACATCTCCTCTCTGTGGGGCCGAAGCCAGGGAACACCGAGTGCCCCTTACCAGGCAAGGGCATCAGCCCCCACGGAAGACAGACGGGGACATTGTGCTGGCAGCTCTGGCTACACAAGAGGCCCCACCAGCACAGGGAGATTCAGCGTGAGCAGCTCTGAGAACCCACTGCAACACTGTGAAGGAAAAGCTGATTTTTCTCTTTTGCCAGGCAGGGTCTGGATAAATCCCTAGAAGCACAGCAGAGCCCATGGGCATCTCACCAGCACCACAGGCTGCTCTGCTTAGGAGCTCTAACAGCACCTTGGGCTATCTAGCCCTGCCCATTACCCTGGCTCCCCTATTCCCATCCCTAAGAGCTGCTGTGGCCGTGCACCCAGCATGGGGAGGGTCTGGGACCCCTAGGTGAGGATGGCAAATGTGGCTGCCTGGCCCAGTGCAGTAAAAGGACCTGCTAGGTGCAGCCACACAGGGGCTGAGGCCACTGCCGTGCCCTGGCCCACCGCACGGAAGGCACCAGCAGCAGCAGCAAGCTGGCCAGTGCCAGTGCTCCTGCCCGGAGTGGGGTGTGCTCTGGCCCCTGGCAACAGCAGTCAGGGCTGCTCTGCCAAGCCAGACCCACGGAGGACAGCCCGCTGCCAGGACACCGGCCGTGCCAGGAGCAGAGCTCTGCTTCTCTGTGCTGGGCGACAAACCGCTCCAGGAGCGCTCGCTGCCCCCTGGAGAACAACCCTCCCAGTCCAAAAAGCCAGGGCTGCCCCGGGCCGGCTCACTCGGGCGCACAGACGCGTCCTGCTCCCCTGGACGCACGTGTCCATCCCTGAGGGGACACCTGGGTGTCTGCCCGGGGGACAGAGCCGTGAGCTCCTGGCCAGCGCCACGCCTGCCCGCGAGCATCGCACGCCAGGGCCCAGTTTCCCTCCACAGGGTTAAACCTCTCCGTTAGCTCTCCCTCTCGGGTGGAGCAGCACTTCATGACTAACTTTTTCCTTTTCTGGCATATCAGATGCAGCTGTGGGGCAATTCAATTAATCAATCAAAGTTCCTTCTACCCTCCAGCGCTACCCTGCCACGGTCCCACACCTCGCCTGCCATGTGGAGCCAAGCCACAGGCTGCCCGGGCCAGCTGCCACCCAGGAAGGGGCAGACAGGGACAGGCAGCCCCCAGTTCTGACTCACAGGGCAAACAGGCAGCCCCGGAATGAAGCTCCTGGCCCTGTCCCTCTGCCCCGTGAGTCTCCCACCCCCAGCTCTGACTAACATGTCAGCTGGCTGCTACACCCAGGCTAATAAGCCCCAATTTTGGGGAGGGGTTAATAGATCAGCCCCTGCTGCCCCACGGTGTTCAGCTGCCTCCCATCCCAATCCAGCCACTCAGAGTGTCCTGTACACCCTTTCCCTCCTCATTTTAGGGTCTGGCTCTGCCTGCTCCCTGCCTGGCCACTGTCCTGCAGCAGACTTGGGTCCCTGCAGCCCCACCAGTTCCCAGGAGCAAAAACAGTGCGGAGGCTGCTGGAGCTTATCCCTATCAACACCAGCTGATAAGAGCTTCAACTGCTGAGCAGGAAAAGTGAGACCCAGGGCAAGGGGAACGCCTTGGCATGGAGCAGGTGGCCCAGGTGCTGCTGGGCAGCTCCACCAAATCCTCACAAAGCTGATTCTTGCTGCCACTCCTGGCACACGGAGTTTCTCACGCTGTTCACAGACCTGCCCCACAGCAGGCAGAGGAGCCTGGGGAGTTAATTTTGTGCCTTAGCAAAGGCAGTGGGGATGGAGTCCCTGGGAACATGGAGCTGGAGCTGAGCTGCCTTTACACTGTCCGGCAACACTGAAAACATCGGTGCCAAAGCGGGAGCTGGGTGCGCAGAGCCAGGACGCAGCACCGTGGTAGCAGCTCAGCCTCCAGGGTCCTGCCAGGCAGCTTGACCTTGGCCCTGAGCATGGAGAGACCTGGCCCTTGATAGTGGCCACTGGTTCCAGGCCAGCTGCTGGGAGGTCCCATCCTCCTGGCCCAGCAGCCACCAGCTGGTGCGCACCCCAAAATGAGCCAAAGCTTTGCACAAGAATTAATGACCCAAGCCAAACAACATTGGAGGATTCGCCCCTTCTCTACTTAAGCCAGAGCCAGCCAGTGCTTCAGAGCCGAGCCGAGTACAGGGATGAGGGCATGAGTCCCGAGGTGATTCAGCATCCGGCCATCAGCTTTTATTACCGGGGCTGGTAAAACGCTAAAGGAAGCCGGTAAGTAAGAAGCCGCAGGTAGAGGTGCAGTCCTGCTCCCGGGCACAGGGATGCTGGAACCAGGATGCTGGAAGCGGGGGTTGATGGCGCTGTGATCCTGGAGAAATATTTCCCTCTTGTGGACAAACACAAAGAGCCTCGGGGCAGGAGCGGGTTCCCCCTGGCCTTCTGCCCAGCCAGCTCTCCCCAGGACGCCGGCATCCCGCTGGTGTTGTAGGGTCCCGGGGCTCCTGCCCCAGAGCAGCGTTGCAGCAGCAGCGCGGCGCAGGACACACCAGCTTCCCACAGTGACCCTGTCACACACTTACCCCGTGCCCCGGGCACTGCTGGAGCCACGCTGGGCTGTGCCCAGCCCACGCGGTGTCACGGCTGTCAGCACCCCCGGGCCGCAGCCCGCCTGCCTCAACCCAGCTGACCCGGCTTGGCCCAGCAGCCCCAGCCTCCCTTCCTCACCCTGCCTGCAATCCCAACCTCCCTGCTCTAATCCTTGGCTCAGCACACCCGCTGAGCTCCCTCCCTCCTTCCTGGGTGTGCCCACACTCAGCACCCACTCCTGGCCCCGTGCCCCCTTGCTCAAGCTGCCCTGGCTCCGCAGGGCACGCCTCCTGGGCGCTGAGCCTCTGGTGCACCCTGAGCCTCCTCGTGGCTCTGGCCCGTTGCAGGGCTGCTGCAGCCTGGCCAGCATCCCTCTCCCTGCAGAGCCCCAGGAGGTGGTTGCAGATACCCTGGCCCCATTCAGAGCCAGCTTGTACCCTGAACTCATCATGCTGCAATGCTCCTGGAGCTGGCTCTGCCTCCAGCCCTGACCTCATGGAGCACCCTGCACCCTGGGCTGGGTGAGACATGATCCGCACACTCCCCCAGTCCAGCAGGAGGCTGCAAGTGGCTCCAGCTTGGCCCGAAAAGCCTGGGAAGCTGAAGCTTGGCTGCAATCCCTGCCCAGGGGTTCCACCAAGGCAGGTATCCAAGCACTTCACCCCACTCCTGCTCCAGAACCTAGAGCATCTGTGTGCAGGGTAAAACCTGGACTGCCTGCCAGCTCCTAAACCTGCCCACAAAGGCAGCAGGAGAGCGCCTGGGCTCGGCTTGCCCCTTTGCCTGGTAGCACACGCTTGTAACTGGGAACAGACTGTGTCTGGAGAAGCCCCTGGCAGGGTAAGCCCTGCTGTGAGCTGAGGAGGGGGCAGAAGGGCAGCAAGGGTGGGCAGGCTAAGCAGGCACCCTGCAGGGTGATCCAGGCGCTCTATGCCACTCTTGGGACTCCTGTGGGCTCCGTGCCCAGGTGGCACCCAGCCATGGTACCTGGGAGCAGGGGAGGGACCTGGACGCTTATACTCAGCAGCATCATTTAATGTCAGAGCAGCAGAAAACAGCGTTAACAGTTTGTGGGATCTCTACCCCAGGGGGCACCGGTGCCTTTGGACCTCCAGCACGCCATGGGGCTGCCAGGCCCAGCTCATTCCTCCAGCCCTGCCGTGGTGCAGACAGCCGTGAGTCGCCGCC